GCCATTTGACCTTAGAACTGAAGAAGCTTCTCGGATGAGAGGTGAAACGTCTTCAAGTAACTTAAAGAAGTCCAGACACTTTTCTTTGCAAGCTCCTTTGACTACGATGACCTGGATGACTGAGAACCTTAACAGACACACAAGGACAAAGTCAGCAATTCTTCACAGAAACCATATTCTAGTAGAATACTTTCAGTGAGTCCATGAGCAATAAACAGCTATAGTAGATACTATTATTATGCAATATTTTATTGCTACAAGCTTCGCTAAACTTACAAACTGAAGTAAATACTATAAAACAAATGACAAGTAAAGCAATGACTGTTTTTGAGCTGGTTCAGTTTAGCTTTGAAATGTTCCTGAAATATTCAGTCAGTTAAGCTTGATACTCAGACCTTTAGACATATTTGTTGAATTTCAAAAGACAAATTTTAAATCTTTTTTTAAAGGCTTGTATGTAGAAATCATCATGCTGTGTACAGGGCTGATCAGACAAGCATGAAGAGGCCTATACGCAAGATTGATGCGCTTTTCTCTTTTTGACCGGGTACTTGTCTGGTTAGATACGTTGATTACTGTTCATGTACTCATATGAGAGAGAGTAAAAAAGACTTGTACCCTATCAGACCGACCGACCTGTGTCAGTGAGTGAAGGGTAAGGTTGTGTCCCACCATCAGACAGAGAGCCATTCAGCCCTCGCTGCTGGTCCTCCCATGTCACCTCTAAATCAAGACATACACATAGATATACACACACACACTGATTTTGACACCATTAGGAGATCTCCTTCCTGCGCAAATGTTTATTCTTCTCTATAAAATACTTTCTATGTCTTCATTTATTGATACATTGCATAATGAGCATTTTGTGTATTATGCTTTGTACCAATAATAGAAAGCTGCTGCAAGCATAAATTAAAACAAACAAACAGATAAGAAAAAGGCATCTTTACTACTTCAGCACTAAAATCAAGGACAGCTCCTTATCAAACATTATGAACTTTGCTCCATCTGCTGGCCAACAGAGGTAACAGCCTCTCAAATAAAAAAAACAAAAAAAAAACATTACACTCTGCAGTACTGCAGCAAAGTGTAATGCACAGGCAGCAGGAAATGCTGTTTATGTGGAACACTATCCTAAAAATGTCTCTATTCACCTTTATTCCATTACGCCATTTTTATTACTGTTTTTGGCAAAAAAGGACAATTTTCTTTGCACTAAGCACCAGTTATGTTTGTAAGAGACTGCCAGTCTTAATGGAGTGCATGAAAAGACTGTGTGCACAAGAGCGCAATAATCCATGTCTAATTGAAATGATTGGCAATTTCACAATGGAAATGGAGAGCTCTGTCTTTGTGAGGTGGAGCTGAGCAGAATTAATTAGTATTAAAGAAGAGGGCAGATTAGAGCTCTGAGGCCGCGCTGGAGGCAGAGAAGGGCAGACCAACCAAACTTCCAATCACAGCACTCTGTATGCATTAACATCAGTTACACTACACACAAGTCTATAGTTTGATCACGCAAATAAAGTCAGAAGGAACGGACCATGCTTTTTGGGTGAGAGATGAAACTTGGGCGAATAAAACACTTTGGTGCGACTCAGAGCAGCTCATCATCAAGGACCACAGCTGCTGCTAACTAATGTCACAGAAGGACCAAGAGAGCCCACACAGCAAAATCACACCATCACACTGCTCGGAAGACTTGCCTTTCCTCCCATTTACCGGTGGGCCTTGGGGTTTTTCCTCACTGCCTGCTGCTAGTGGGGAGACAGATGGAGGTTCATGAAATGGTGCAGCACTGAAACTTTACACTGTACGTCACCGTAATATCACAGCTCATTCCACTTGGGCCCAGACGCAGATGCACATATGCCACACAAGTGTGCACGCACGCACACATACGCACATATACCACAAGATCTGATGTGCACAGCAAGCGTTATTGCATAGAACTGCCGTGAGCTACTGGTTAATTATTCTGCTCAGTGTGTGATTATCAGAAAACATAGTTTTATAATATGCAGTTGTACAGTTATATTGACAACTCAACATACAACCATCTTACCATCCAAAGATACCATTAATTAACCCTGTTTAAAAATACAGTTTCCTTTTAGAGACCTTACATGAATATCCAATGTGCCAGTGAGTGCCATAGCTGTCACAGTGTTGAGTAACAGCACCACACAGTCAAAGGACAGAAGCGTGCCACGTAAACAGATGGGAAGGTAGGAAGTAGAAACCGTGGGGAACTCCAGTTTCTGCCAACACTCTTGCCGCTCATTCAAGCCTGGGTTTGAATGTACTATACAACAGCATGTACTGTACAGCACTCTCGAGCAAAACGCAAACTCCACACACTTAAAAGGCAGAGGCTCACATCCGCCGTGTTTCATTTTTAAAGATCTGCCATGACACAAGAGTAAAAACCCGCCGCGTGTTCTCAGTGATAAACACACCTGGATGATCGTTTTGGGGTTCAGGCGCCCCGGGCTCTTCCCCTGTTGCCACACATAAACAGATACACACATACAGGACAGTTAATGTATCTGCCAACTAGGCTTATATCAATATTCCAGCTTCTCCCAGGAATAATACAATAATATGGATCCAGTGTAGAAAGGTCCACACGCACACAAAAGCACAATCAGATTTGCTCAGCATAAGCCAAGTGTCACACAGCTCTGTGGGAACCACGGCGCAGGGTCGGATCAATGCTTCCCCTCTGCCCGTGCAGTGCCGCTGTCCTATAAGAAATAGACTAAAACACAGAGCAAAAGAAGGAGAGAGTGAGAGAAAGGAGAGAGATGTGAAAAGGCAGAGTGCCTGTCAAAGAAAAAAGGAAGAAAAAAAAACACGAGTAAGCGAGGCTGGGGGCAGGTATGAAGAGGAAGAACAAATAAAGGTGACACAAAGGAGCAATGGAGAGGTCCAGACACAGAGAGAGCTTTTGAGTGATAAAAAGATGGCAAAGATACAAAAAAAGACTGGGACTGAGAGAGAGCGAGAGCAAAGGGGAGAGAGCGGGGCTGGCTGGCAGCTGTACAGAAGACAGGGAAAGGCCCTTGTGGACTCTGACAGTGATAAAAGGGTTGTGTGAATACTTTGACACGTTCACCAGAACTGCACGAGCTTCTTCTCTCCAGATTTATCTCAGTCGTTCCCCACAAAGCTTAGAACAACCCTTTTACAGCATCCAATTTAAAGACACGTGAAAACAATCATTGCCTTCATCACAGTGCTTCATATCACAGTTCATTACAACAACACGCAACAATTTGCCAGAGGAGTGCTGAGTAACACTAAGGACTTCACATGCCTCTGTACAATGTGAACAAATGCAGGTTTTGCTGTAATTGTGAAAATTGTGGAGTTTAGCACAAAATAGCATAATATTTGCTTCGGTGACGTATCTCAGCAGTCCAGATGTTTTAAAAATCGAATTATTTGCAGACAGTTAGTAATGATATCTGGTGTGTAACACAAAGCAAAAGAACAGCAAGGCTACAAATCAACACAACACTGGTACGATCAGTAGGATCAAGGCACCACGATGGCACAGGACATTCTAACTGCACGTTTAAACACAACTGCAACGGGGGGGTTGGAGGAGGAGGATTCAGTATGCACAGATCAAGTTTAGCCTCCACTGAACTGAGCTACCCGCCCTGTTGCAGACAGGGTTTTGGCTTTTGGAGGGAGGTGCAGCTCGAGCAGCAATTCCCAGTCCGAAAGACGAAACCCGAACATTCAGGTACAGACCTTCACAAGGCTCTGTTCCTTCGTCTCCATCTTCTGAGAGAGGAATGGAAAAGGAACCGAGCAGAGATGTTAATGGATGGAAGGCCAAAGTGAAAACCCATAAAGCAATGAAAAATCCTTGTACTTTTGAGACTTCTACAACTTCTACCGAAGCGTTCCACCGGCTAATAATAATTATCCCTTTGGTCAGTGACACCAAAACCAAAAAGCTCTTCTTGTGACCCACAAGTTCAGGTCATAAAATAGTAACTTTATCGCTTTAAAATACTGAATATATGAATGCTCAAAATAAATTCAATTAGGTAGACAGTAGCCGTGTAATTTAAATTTAAAAAAGACATCCAGGTGACTTACTTCTGTCTTTGCCTGCGGGTGGAAGCTGTGGGAGTTGCCGACCTCGTCTACTGGACATAGGGGTACTTGTGGGACTGGTCTGGACGGACCCACTACGCGGATGTGCCCTATATGACAAAAAGTAGCAGACAATGGCATGAGACATAAAGTAGGAGCTCGATGTAGGTGTTGCAAAGAAGAGAAAAGCGTACATTTGATCGGAGACGAGCAACATGAAAAGTAAAACTATGTTCTTTAATGGAGAGCCAATACGTGATTTAATGTAGTTAGCTGGGGTCATTCAATTATTTACAATATATGTAAGGTCACATGTAATTTAGTCACTGCCAGACACAGCAGAAATCAATCAGTGATAGAAAACTCGCTGTTGACTTTATCTCCAATATAAAACCAATGCACACAGCGGTGATGTTTTGGCACATGGCATGGAAGTGGAGGGCTACATCGACTGTAGGAAGCTGAGCTGCAATAAAAGATGCCAGGAGTGAATCGCATGTAAAGTCGACTCATCAAGCTGCGGGAGAGAAGAGTTGAAATGCAGAAACAGCAGACCAGTGCGACCATGCGTTCAGACTGTCCCCGCAGGCTTCCAACTCAAAAACAAAAGAAGAAGAGGAAAGAGGACAAAAAAAGTAAAAACAGAATGCCCTCCGAGGACAAACGGCATCAGTTGATGTTAGTAATGAAATCAAAGTAAAATGTCGGCCCATCACTGCTATACACACTCAAGCGTATGAGCAGTGTGTCCCAAATTAAAATTTTTCTTTTTAATAAAAGGAGTCAGCAAGCTATCTACGGTGTCAGGGTCATCGTGCCCGGGATATGTGTAAAGAAAATACAGCACATCCACTGGTGCTTTTGGAGACAAAACAGAAAGTGGCGTGTGACAGGTGGAGGTCGGTGGAGTGAGGTGAGCTGAGGTGAGGTGAGGCGGGGAAGCGGGGGATTAGGAGGGTGGGAGGTAGGTGAGTGTGATGTGGTATTTTTGGTTTATTCTGGGAGTTAGTCAGGGTCGGGGTGGGTGGGAGCTCATGGGACAGCTTCTGTACGGCTTTAAAACCTGTAAAGGTTTTAGCTGTACAAACATTTAGAAGAGGTAGAGCATCTCTGGAGGCAGAAATATTCTTACAGGTTGATTTAAAGCTCAGTGTGAGAGTACAGCACTTTTAGCTAGGCTGTCTACACGAACCCTAGTTGTAAAACCTCGGTACATGCTGCACATCCCTTGTTAAAAGCAGAATATTAGCCTTGATGTTTTAAATGTGCTTTTCGAGAGTAAGGTTTATTAAGAAAAATAACAAAAAAAAAAATCGCCCAAACAAATCTTGAAATACTTATTAATGTTTAAATTTTCTGTTGAAATGATTTCTCCCTCCAGTGAAGCTATGCTTCTGGGAAATGAGTGTACAACTAAAAAGTACTGTCTGCTTCTATGCCACGTTGGCTGGCTCTGATCTCTTATCTGGGTCACACCTCGTCAAGGCAGGTGAGGGGGGGGCGGACCTCCCAGATGGCAGAGAAGGCATGGACCTCATGAGCGAAGAGTCGTGGGGGCGTTCAGTGGAGCGTGAGCGGGACGTGTGGCGCTCTATAGTGGGCCGCTGGTCTGCAGAGCGGGACCTGCTGTGATACTCGTGTCTATCCATGGCTCCGTGGCTCCTACAGAGGTTGTTGAGAGACAGGCAGGCACTCAGTGTGTCTCCAGCAGGGCACGGACAGTAAGGAGGGCAAAGGAATTTTCTGCACCCTCAAAACTCCAAAGGATCATGTGGAATCCTGTATTTTTAATTGGTATAATCAATCTACTACCAATAGCATAGATACTTGTCAGAAGCTAATTGGGTGTTATGTCAAGTGTGCCTGATTTGCAGGTAGTGATCAAAACTACCTAGAGATAAAGACAAAATGAAATGATTCCTAAACTCTTAAAACACACATTATTGTTTATGACTCTCCACATGAGGCTAATTTACTTTATTTAAAGAGCAGACAATATGGACTGTGCTAGGTGGCTCCTGTGTGCTTGGCAGTCCTTGGTGGAACCAGTGACTTAACTGTGAAGTACTCAAGACGTGTGCAATGAACAAGGACTATGTGCTGTCTCTCTGTAGGTGATAGGTGAGCATTCTGTTTGAGCCAGAGTGGGAATGTGAGGGAAAAGTGACTGCACTTGGATTATTTTGTCTGTTATATTCTGCAAAATGCCCAGGCAAAAGAACTTTTGGCACAGTGACAATGAAGGCAGATTCAGATGATCTGAAGAGCTGTAGGGGAAAAAAAACAGGTGAGGTTTCTCAGCTGGGAAAATTACTGACGAGGTACAGAGAGGAAAAAAAAATTCGTACAGAAATTCATTGATCAAGAAATAAATTCACATATTAAAAACAGTGAAGTGAAAAAGGCACCTCAGTCTTGAGAAGCAGAGGGGATTTTAGAGCATGCTGTTTGCTAACCTTTGTATGTATGTTACCAGTCTCGATTCACACACCGTGAGTAATAATATTTTATAGTTTTTGTACTTTCATACAGAACAAAATAGTACTGAAATGAACCGCTGCACACACTGTTTGCTAAAATGCAAGAAATGCAAGAAAACACTATAGATATGTGGGAACGTCTTCAGTCAAACTGGGTTCTAATGATAGCAAATACTTTATAAATAATTTCATTAGATCAGTCCATTTTGTTATTGCCATTCAGTGTCTGTAGTCTTCTCAAGTATGAAATATTGTCCAGTAGAGGAAATGTCCTGATAAAGGCTCATCAGTCAGTGACCTTACACAATCTATACAACAGTCATTTACTCTCATCATCACCGGGTCCCGTTCTCATTACGTGCTACGGCCAAGAATCTTTCAGTGATGTGAGGTTACGTCTGTTCAAGCATCACATTATGTGTAATTCAGTGGACGCAACTGTAACACACAAACTGCTCTGCTCACTAGATTCTCACAGGAATGTTTGTTTTCCTGGCTCGGGAGAGTTGCTGTATTCATTCCTACATGCTGCATACTGTACAGGCTTTGTCCTGCTTTAAGTGCACTCTGGAGGGTTGCACTTAAACTACAGAACCATGAAAAACCTTTTCTGCAGGCAAATCACCCAAAACTAAAACATCTGGCAAAAGGTTCCAACTCCACTAATGCTCTTTGTTGCTAGACTCTTTTTCCCCCTCATCCAAGTGGCTTTTGTGTCTGTATTGTGCCCTCATTTCTTTTCAGGTCTTACTATGCCTGACTGCAGACAGAAACAAACTATCTATATGAAGAGTGGAGGGGAATCAACTGTAGTCCTCTGTTGGCTACTTTCCTTTCTCTGTCAAAAGGAAAGACACAGAGAAATAGATGGACAGCTCTTGTTAATGGGTATCTAGGTTATAGGCTTAGCCTGAAGTTGGGCCAAGCCAGGCCTTAGGGAAACTTTGTGACAGTTTTATAAAGTCAGTCGGGCTCTTGGGCTGAGTTCAGAAGACTCATCAGTTTTTTTTTCCTCCTGGAGAGGAGAGAAGTAGCACAAATGTCACGTTATTCCTGACTGGAAGCCAGATGGCAGCAGGCAAAAGACTGAAGCATGGTGCACCAGTGTGGGTCGGGAATTGATGGGTGTCAGCAGGCCTTTCTATAGGTGCTTGAAACAGCCCAGCAATCCATTCAGACCATATAGAAGAAGTCAAAAGTCCACTCTATGGATGACTGTAAGTGCAACTGTCAATAGCATGTTAAATTAAAAAAAAAAAAAAAAAGACAACATCAATAATAACAAACACCACTGATCAACATATGGCTGTTTGCATAATGCGCACGGGTACACAATGACATCAACAAAGGAACAGTCAAGTGCGAGCCAGCACTTACACAGCCGACATCAGCAACACAAATAGCTCTGAGCCTCATCGTACAGAGGCAGTTGTGTAACATAACTGTACAGCCACACAACCTCAGAGCCGTGATGACTCCTTAACAAAAACCGATATCGGGGAGGATATCATTTTCCGTCATCACCTGTACGATCACGGATAAATTAAAGACGGATGAAGAACAACTTCAGGAGACCACAAGACGGCGGGCGCAGCAGCGCGTGTCAGTACCTCTCGTAGTCATAGTCGGAGGAGTAGGCGCCCTCTGAATAGGCACGGGTCATCCTAGTGGAACGCAGTAACCTGACTGCTTCCTCGCGGCAGATCGGATACACACGATGGTTGCGGCTGCCGAGAAAATATCACAGCTGGTCAACGCTCGATTTTTTTAATTTTGTTTCACCACATGGGGGAGGCAACATGACAAAGAAGCTGGAATTTAGATCTCAAAACTGAATACAAAATTACACTGATGCGCTGAATGTACCCATACGACTGCAGGGGAAACCACCTCTGCTGGACAAAACTTCACAACCACAAAACACTTATCTATTTATATCTATTTAACAGTATGGCCAACAGACGCTCTTTTAGTAAAAAGACAAGAGACAGACTGAACTTCTCCAAAGCCTGCATTCATGCACATGATTTATTCTAGAAGATTTAAATGCTTATATGATAATGAGATGGTGAGAGAGAGCAATGCTGATACTGGATGAAATGTATGGCTATTATCCAATCAACATGATGCACCACGGGAAAGTAAACAGTTCTTTATATATTTAATCTTTGGCAGAAGAAATGTATACTGATACACATACACACAAAACACTCACGGCACTGACATTGAACAGGTCAGCTGAAGTGATTTACACCTCAAATCCACAAACCCATGTGGCTTTTTAAAGCATGCCACGGTGTCAGTGCTATATCTTCAACACCCTAATGGAAGCTTTCCTCAAAAAACAACCCAACAAATAAAATATATTAAAAAAATAGGCTTGTGGGTTGGTGTATGGTTGGGGAGGGGGTTTGGCTGGCTGGTAACTAAAGTAGCAAAGGTGGGGCTTCATGCAAGCTCTGGTAAAAGTCTACCTGGGGTCCTTCTGAGGGTCATCAATAGGCTGAGTATGTCTGGTTCGAGGTAGGGTGAGAAAATGGCTGCAACCACATGGAAGGAGGAGAGAAGACAGAGATGGATCTGAGATGTTGAAGAGACAGAAGAAAAGGAGGAAAGGAGAGAAAGACAGCAGATCGGAGACAAAGATCATACAGGCGGACAGCCGGAAGGGGGAGGAAACCGAGGGGAGGTTGTAAAAGAGAGAAGCTCACAGGAGAGAGATTAATGTACACGATTCAGGGTGGAAAAACTGGTGAGGAAGATGAGAGGTGAGAGAAAGCCGAGAAATCGCACGGCGAGGAGACGACTTCCTCGGCTCTAGTGCACAGACAGATAAAAATGGTACACAGAAGACGCCGGAAGAGAAAAGCACTGTCCGAACCCCTAAACCGGTCCCCTCTGCTCGACCATTAAACTACTTTTAGACCGTTTAATAACTACAGATTTTTTTTACATACATCATTTCCCAAGAAAGTCAGAAAACATTAAGTGTTAAGAAAATAAACCAGCAAGGCTCACAGAAAGCTATGAAAGCCATTTTTTACAATATTATAGGATACCTGGGAGAATGCCAAATTCTCTGTGACATTTTCAACTGTTTTCAATAAATAACTGCAAGCTGTTAATTGAAGCAGCTGAAATACACTCAACAGAGCACCGTCCCAGACAATTTAGATAAGTGCATTTTCTGCATCTGACACTGATTTAGCTCCAGCTTCAGAAGTATCAAATAAAGTTAATTGGAAAGGGGGCAGGGTGGGCTGGGGGTGGGAATAGCTCCGACCAGGCGGTGCCAAGGCCACAATTGGACACTTGGAGCAATATTTTCCAAAGCTCACAGAAAATAAGTGCTGATGGAGGATAACTGACCACTTCCCCTTGACCACCTCTTCCATAAAGATAGTGAAATACAGTACATGCAAATCCTGTATAATGTGCTCAGCACTGGCAACATTTCTTTGGCTCCCAATGTTTCCTGCAGAATTTCAGTCTCTCGATTCAAACTTGTGCACTTGTCTTTCAGGAGTGTAGTCTCATCCGAGGCTGGTGCTCATGTGGAATTTTAGCTTGTGCCAATGCTATTTTTAACTCTAAGAATGATGATTTTAATCGAGTATTTCCTGCGCTCGTTAATTCTCACTTTCTTATTTGGAAATAAGGAGTAGATGAAGATTGAGGACACAAGTAGGGGAGAATCCACACTACTGTATCAGGAGGACCCTGAATAAAAAAACAACACAAAAAAACCCCCACTACATCACATTAAAGATGAAAGTGCGGACAAAGAAGAAGAGTTTAAGGCAAAAGGCGTTGTGCTGTGGTGTATGCATACATAAACAGCTCACTGTGTACTTACTCGTCTTGCGCTGGTCAGCATTTACACATTCATGCTTAAATAAGCAGATGCATGTGCTGCACACAAGTGTGAGCTGAAGTGTATGCGTGTGTGTACCTGTCAGGTGTGCAGCTGTCGTCAGACAAACTGTGGTGCTCCACTCTAGCAGAGGAACTGTACTGAGAAGGCCTAAGGTCAAGTGCTTGGTCCAGACTTCTGCTGTGTGACAGAAGTGGACCGATCACCCCTTATGGATGCTACATACTGCCCCCTGCTGTCCAAGAGGCACATGGCCTCATGTTTAACAGAGGCCATGAGAGGAAACGGGAGAGACGCCGCACACCACAGAAGGTTGAGGTGCTATTTTGAAGTAAATATAGCAACATTTGGTGCTACAACCAAAACAGGTGGCGAAATTGAAAGTAACCTGAAACAGCATGCGTTTCAGCTAAACTAGTGATCCTATTTTTTTGTCGATTCCAAAGCATGGAAGCACAACACTACGATGTACAAAAGACCTACCAAAAACTATACATGTCGGGCCTTTGGTGCATTGAGCAACTGGTTACCTGGAGGGTGGGGGAACGCTGGGAGAGCGCGACCGCACCCTGTTTATATCAGCTGACCGAGAGCAGTGGTTAGAAGACATGACCTGCTCGGGGACCGACAGCGTGGAGCTCTGGAAGTCTCTGCCATTTGGCCGGTAGTCTGTGAAAACAACAATGAATAAAGAGAAGCAGGGGGTGGAGAGAGCAGGAGAGAGAGGGTACAGCATTATTTAAGCGATTCCTTTATTCCCTCACAACACCAGAGATGCTACTTGTATGCTTTTTACTTGCTTTTTACTTGAGTTATTTAAATAACTACATATGGTTAATGAACAATAATGAATGCTGCTTTTGCAGACTTAGTTTGACCACTGTCTGTAATAACTAAGAGTAAAGCAAATCTTGGTCAAACTTTGCAAAGCTAAAAGCCATTCTGCACAGGTGACAGACTCATTTTGATATGCTGAGTCTTTATCGTACAAAAAATGAGGAGTGGGTTTCCATAAAGGTGTAAGTCATCTGCTGTTTTAACACTGTGCATTAAACGTGAAAATAGCCTTTCAAAAGAATCTGAAAGATTATAATGAATTTTCACTGGTAGACTGATTAGTCCATTGAACTTGAAAGAGTTCATTAACCGATAATCAGACATGGCTAAGAGCCACGGGTAAGGTCAGTGCTTAGAACTATTAATGTTGATTGATATTCAATAGAGTGTATAGAAGATTTAAAATGAGTTAAAGAAAAGCCTGATTCCAAGTTGGAAAAGATGGAAAGGTAAGAAAGAAATGTTGACCTTCACTTTAAAGAAGTCGCATGTTAATAAGATTTTCTTTTGTGTGTCGTAGATAGAATAAAATAGATTTCTTTAAACGTGTCAGGCTAAATGACCCATAGAGTAAATTGTCATATTCTCCAAGCCTACCATTTGTTTTTTGACATAAACAAATACAAGCTACAAACATTTGAAAAAAAAATGACCACAATCCACAATGTCTTCACTCCATTATGATGTAAATTAAATTTTCAAAGGAAAACATTTGTCATTTCTTTAAAAAGATGCTCCACTATCGAGCTTCCTGCAGCACAGCAATCAACTTCCATGCAGAGCCAAATTAAATCTATTCTTCCTCCTGACATGTTGCAGATGCAAAGAGGAGATTCTTTGTTGACAATTAATAGGTTTTAACAGGAACTGGCTGCAATGGTGCAGAAAGAGGCAAAAGAGCAGAGGGTTAAAGCAACATGAAACATGTTGCACAGATGTAAAAAGTCTTAAAAATGTTCAGTTGTAAGGCCCATTTGTCTTCTACAGTAGCTACTAGTAGCTATAGTAGCTGTCCTGTGTGTACTGTATGTTCTGTAAAACAAAAGTAAAATGTTTTCTTCCCCATTTGAACTGTGGAAGCAGATAACGGCAAAAACCGCAGATGAGATGCAGTGGAGCCCGAGCAAAGGGGAGGGAGCAACCAGGGCTGAGTGAAGGGGTATTCCTTTCACTGTGGATGAAGTGAGGGGGTGGGGGTGGCTGGCATTGTGAGAGGCAGTGAGGGGCTGATGAGAATTTTAAAGAGGCTGGAGGAGGATTTCCCTCAGCTGCGGTATCATCGGCAGGCTGGTCTGAATGTCTGTGTGTGTGTGTGACACGCAGTTTGCTACAGAAACTGTCTATTCTCCTGTTTCTTTTCTCACATTTTTCCACTCGCTTCTTCTGCGTGGTGAGTGATGTGAAACGACCTACAAACAGTGCAGGTAGCTGTTTCCATCAAGCTTAATTGCAAAAAAATATATAGCATGTCCCGTGGTCTTTTTGTGAAAACTGAGAAGGAGAACTAACAATTATATAAAGACAGGCACATGTTGCCCTCAAACGCAACCTTGTGCTTAAAATTTAAAGGAAGCCTTTTTTTAAGCCCTCACTGTCTTTTTCAGTATAATTTTTCTTCCTAGTTATTATTTCATGTGAGCAAATTTCAAGCACTTCTCAGTCTTTTTCCCCCTTCCCCTGTCTTATTCTCTCTGGCTGTTAGCAGCTCTGTCTCTGCTTTTCTGATGCAGCGTGGGCGTGCTGCTGAAGCCTTAGCAAGGACAGCAACTAGCAGTGCAGAGGCAGACAAAAAAGCCCTCTGCTCCCTAACTGTGCTGCTGCTGTTGTTTGCTGATGGGTTGCAGGATCTTAGCCCGATACTGCGAGATGTGATGACGTGTGTAAGCATCTTTCCGGTGGCGACGTGAGTGAGGTTAGCTAAGTACATTATTAAGAATCGTAATGCAGCTCTGGTGAAATGGAGTGGATTCGATTCACTTACGCCACACAACGATGACCTTCTTAATATGGCCTTGAACTGTTTATTACCTGTTATTACCCCAACGCCGTCTTCACAATCATAGTCTGAGATCTCACTGTCACTTATCCTTTGGGATCCTTTGAGAGAAAGAAACAGACCGAAAGGCAAAGAAGCAGGAAAGAGGAGATAGAGGGGAGAGAGAGAGAAAGAGGTCATTTTCATTCCCTTTTTCATTTATTTGGATGTTGTTGTTTTTTTTTCAAATAATAAGTCACCCCTGCTCTGACTGTAATGCTCACTGGTCAAAGTGAACCCTCCAACTAAAACAAATAATGCAGCATTTCGCCGCTCGATCCCAACAAGAGCAGCCGATCCTTCTTCATCTGAGCCGTGGCACTTTGAAATGGCGCAGTCAATCATTCAGTGCACACGTAAAGGTGGAGACGGGGAGAAGTGATAGGGCCGTGTAGCTCTTTCCTCATCCTTCCCCCGTAGCCTTATCACCCCCACTCCCCACCCAACGCATCCCCACCGCCTTCACCGTTCATTCAACTTAAATCAACTGGACACGTGTGCTTTTTCAGAAATGACAAGTGCTGCACTCTGGCAGTGCCGCTCCCAACCTCTCATCTCAGTTGGCTGAAAACTTTTTACAGCTGTCAGCTCTTTCACTTCACGCTAACACCAACACCCAGAAAATCGTCCTAGTGGGGGAGCGAGCCAGCGTCCCGTGGCTGAAAGAAGCAGCGGAGTGAAGCCGTATGGCATAACGGACTGCAGCGCAGTCCTCTTAAGCATGTTAGGAGGTATGAGGGCCAAAGACTCTAACAATAGTAAGACAAGGGTCAAAAATATCCTATATAAAGAGTATTGTATATTTCATGCATGCAGATAATCAAATATTATTTTCCTCTTTTTCTTTTTTTGAGTAAATATGCCAACTGTGTTAGAGGATTAGGCCAGTAAATAAGAAGTATCACAAAAGCAACACAGTCGCCTGCCGTTCTCAAGAAGATATTCACAATGAAGACACACAAACACAAGCAAAAGCAGAATGGGCAGAGTGTGCCAATGGTAATCTGTGCAACTGTTAAGAGGAAAATATTCATAATAGGCCAAATAACAAACAGTATACATGACAGAGGAGAGGCAGGTGGTCATGGGCCAATTATGTCTGTCAGGAGGGGCGGACAGCTCGGGTTTTAATAACATCACATTAGGACTGAATACAGATTGGCAGAATCTGGTTTTGGGTTACAGGGTGGGGGTTGTGAGGCAGTTAACAGGTGAACACACAGAGAAGGAGAGACCACTGTGTCCTAAATCTCCCCGTTTCCCCACAGCGTCTGTGGTTCTGCTGCTCTGTGTGGATAAGGAACGAGCGGTGTAAAATATACACCGAACCTCCGCACAGAAATCCACGTAAGGCAGCAGAAGCGCCAGCTGTTAAGGGGGAGGGGGGAAAGGGGTGGAGAATTGGGGCACAAGGGTGTGTGTTTAAAGAGGAGGAGGACAACACTCAGATGCTCCATAAAGCTGCAATGTCTGGCAGGGCAAAGGTCTTTACCTGAGTTGTGTGAATAAGAGCCTTTGTCTGTAAAAGCAGAAGCAGTAAGGTAGATGTGACATGGACAACAGAAACAAAATATGCAGAAATAACAACGGCCGTAAAGGCCTCGATGACCTGAAGCAGCAACAGAAAAGGCCAGCAGGCAAACAGCATGGGCACTGATCAGATAAATATATATGGCTCCTTGTTTGTTGAAACAACTACAAAAATCAGAAAGCTACCTATTGTTGTTTTCATTTATCTCAGTGCTAAAATTTAGATTTCTGAGTGTTCGGTGCCATGAGTCTGTCGCCACAGATATATTTGTATGATGGCAAGCTTCAAGTAATAAAAAAGGAATATAAGGAAATGCGCATGAAGACAAGCTACAAAACGCACACGAGTAAAAACCTCCATTGACTCTTTCTCTGATAGCTGCAGATTTCTCTCTCTTATCATGCCACAGCTGGTATAAATGTGTTTTTGCACTTAAGGCCACATTATTAGCTGCTGTCATTCCTTCACCTGTCTCATTGGTAGTGTGTGGCGGGGTGTGAGGAGGTGCATACGTAGCAAGGGCAGAGAACCATCAGTGACAGTAGAGTACATTAAACACTCTGATATTGTGCAGGGTGCAAATAAATTAGATAAAAAACAAACGTGTTTTTTAATCTTTCATTTATCGTAACCTTGCTTGAGTGTAAAGCTCGGAAAGCAATGTTTAAGTCAAGCATGAGTCATTAAAACAAAGACTCCCTGTCTCTCACTCAAAGTAAGGATTATTAATTTAACCCACGTAATGGACTGATAGTCGGTATCAGCAGATACCCGAAGCCAATGTATCTGCATTGGTATTAGAAAATCAGCTGACCTGCTTCCATCTCACACTGTGAATGAATGTCACATGTCTTTACATTACAGCAGGTAAAATGTTTTTCCTACAGGATGCCCACCTTTTGACTCTTATATTCACTTTCAGCACATTTTGGGGCCATTTGAGCGACAGAGGTGTTACTCACTCTGCAGCCGCCGCGTTGGACTCTCTCCGTGGAGTTGCCGGCGCTGTGCGTTCGGGGAGGCACGTGGGAGTGGGATAGATGACACGTCGTGTGTTTGTAGCTTGTACCAGTGTGGCTCGTCATCGAGAAGAGCCGTCTCCAGCTCAATCAGGATCTGGCAGAAGTAAAAGGCCCAAGTAAATTTTCTCTCCTTAAAAAAAAATGGCCTCACTCCAAATGTTTTAAGCTCACATATTTTTTTCTCACTGATGGAATCAGGGCAAAGTAAAACATGCTAACTTTTACAGAAAATGTAAATCCCCAAAAAAGCCCTTTCTGTCACTCACACGCGAACAGAAAAAAAGAAAGTTCCTGATCCATGATAGGCAAGGACTGGACCACCCAACACTTTGTGATGGCCAGCAGCTTTCTTAAGGGCTTGACACCATTCAAGAGGATAAGCTGAGATACTGTTACTGAGTGTCTCTGTGAGGGCTTGGGTTTGGTTTTCTCACCTCTCCCAGGAATTCGCTCTCCTCCTCCCTCACCCTGGCTTGGTCCCACAATGTGATCTCCAGCATACGTTCCCGAAACTCCCGCCGGTGCACCGGCGAGTACATAAAGGTCTGGTTCCATTTGGGCTCTAAGGATTTCTTTACTGTTTTTGTTCTCCTCTTGCTTTTGTCACTGGAGGAACAATAATTCAAACTGTTTTTATTTACAATCATGATAGGGAAGAGCCACGAATACAACAAATCCATCACACGACACAGCACAGAGCACAGCACCACAGCATGCAGCTGCAGGGAACGACATGGCAAAGTGAACGTGCTAACTGCTTCTTAACGTCCATTTTCTGCATTCCTCATCAATACATAAGAATAAATTACTTAATAAGAAAATAAGAGCATAATTATGAAATAAACCTCACATCAATGCCCCCCATAAATTGACCTTACTGCATAATCTTTTTTTAGTGTCTTTCTACCATCGGGGAAATTATGCCCTGAAATAGAGGAACTGTTTCTACTCTTACCTTCTGTCAGGGAGGAAGTAGATTTTGACGTAAGGGTTCCTGGGCCGGCCGTCTTCCCTGGGTGGCAGGTCTTTGGCACCCAGGATGGTGACGATTAGCTGATGGCCCACTTTGTCATACCACAGTTTGACCTGGGGGAGGGGGGAGAGCAGAGGCAGCCTGCTGAGAGACAGCTCAGGGCCAGCACAAATGAGAGCACATAAAGGGAATAATGCAGGAGAAGACAACTTCATCAGGTCCTCACATATGCATCTATATCCTTTTATTGAGTTCAACACCTTTTCAATCAGTATAAGCCTCAGTGCAGGGTCTTCTCCTGTATTTACCCTTTAGGAAAAAGGAGGAGGGTATCCAATTGCTAGGATGTCATTTTCATAAACTAAAACTATATCAATGTTAAAATGGTGTGATAATGATTTTTAAAGATGCAAAAACTCTCCTTTTCGTGTTCTAATTGAATCCTTATGTTTCTTTTTTTAAATCTATAGTATTCAAGTGTGTCTGATTACAGTTTTTTAAATGGAACTGACCTTTTCAGCTGGAGTGAATTGTAGTGAAATGCTAAAGGCAACATGCTCTAAAATTAACACTGTCCCACCATCTACCTATATGATGGCATCTCTAATAGTGTCCTCCCAAGTATTCAGTGGGGATCGATAACGAGAAATCAGTCATGCTGCTGCAATAGGAATCAAACAGTTCACGCTAAAAGAAAAGTATGGACTCCAGGAGAAAAAACTTAGAAGAAATAAAAGGCCAGCTGAAGCCTTAAAAGAAATCAGATGAAATGAGAAGTAAGACTTCTAAGTTCTGGTCCATACTTCATTCAGAATATGATTATGGATAGGGGTCTGCACTGTTTAAGAGGACTCGCCGTTCATGCAGCAATGCAGGAAAGAGCATTCAAGACAAGTCGAAACAGACAGCAGGGGGCTCATGGGAAAAACAAATTGTACCAAGTAATCTCTAGCCCACCAAAATGCCACATACTGCAAAATATGAATTCAAATGTAGAGTAAGATTCACCATAAAAACTAGCAACAATAAGTAAAACACCTAAATATATACTACTGAGTCTGATGTACAGTGTGTCCAATACAGCCAACTAACAAGTAAGCAGTTTACTGAAACATGCTGGCTTTAACAACATTAATGTAGACACACACATAAACCTGAACGATTCATATGTTTGATCTGGAAAACACGCAGTGCACCCTTTCCTCTGCATGCTCTGTTACACACACCAACAATATTACCGACACATAGGATATGATGCTTAGATCTCGCTTAAGCAAAACAACACAACAGTGAAATAAATATCTACGGTTTAACACAGGAATATTAACCCTCAGGCTATCTAAATCAATAATGACCATAAAACAGAAACCACAGAAAAGACAGAGTGATATTAAAGCAGGCAGCTTGTAGCAAAGAGAAGCCTTCCAGGCTTCGCTCTGTTTGGAGTTATTATTTGGGAGGTACAATTTGCTTATTCGTTAAATCTGGTATCTGTAACGGGGGAAATGCAGTTTTGGCTTTGGCTTTCCAAAGAGGATGGTGAACTCAGTATCTTTTCACTGCAACATGAAACCACACAGCCATCAGCTCAGATCTGCTAATTAGCATCACTTCAACTCGCACATGGGGGAGCCCTTCTGTGTATGCGTGCAGGGTTAGAGTTATCGAGGCCTGGGTTCACGTCACACTCAAGCAGGAGAAGAAAGAAAAAACAGAGATCTTTGTCCTAGAAAGATTGACAGAGACACCGACCAGCATTGCCATAGACACAATACTAAACTACTGTTTCAATTAGGTCAATCACTGAAGTCAGTCCAAAGACATCAGGCAATGCAAGAGCGTCTCTTAAAATAAGCTCCGATTAGTCGAGCATGCACTATTTGGGGATAATGATGTGTATGGGTTACAATGAGCTATAAGAACTCTAATCATAAGAATGATACCAAGAAATCAAATCAAGGAAAATGACACAATGCACTGCACTAAGAGGGAAACTCAAAGCTGCCATTTCCCCAGGAATGCATTTTCCAAAGTATGGAAACAGAAAAAAAGGCCAGTCAACAGTCAATGAGCAAAAAAAAACCAAACAGAGTTTGTGCCCTTCACACAGGGCCCATTACCTGGACCCTAGGGGCAAAAGGCGGTGTTCTTCTACTAAGGCTTTGGCTCTGGATAAGCATAAATTAAACAGCAAAAGAAAAAAAAGAAAGAAAAGAAAATGCAATAAACCAAAACCACAAAACACAACAACTCACAATACACCCAAAACACAACAACAGAAATTTGTCATTTAGATGAAAGAATTAAGCCAGCAGGTTTTGTATTTTTTACATTTCTGCTTTCTCAAAGATTACTCATCCCTGAGCTGCTCTGCCCTGTTCTGCATAGGTCCTCGGAGAAAATTATCAGCGGCTCACAATTAGATCTTTTTGTCTTTTAGACCTGTTTCTCCTCCGCCTCAAAGCTTGCGTCACGGTGACGTTAAACACGATTGTTATCCACAGACGATGCTTGATACAGACAGCTCCTTACTGTGTAGAATTACTCATCAAGGTCTTGCAAGGTTTATCCAGTGAGCTGAACTGTTTTAGTGATTAGTCCACTGCGAACTTCAAGGTCGGCCCTCTCATGAAAATCCAGAACTTTAAGCAGCGAGTGGATGAAAAGTCTGCGCTATACAGTGTAGGATATGTTTTAGTGGTGACCAAATACTCTATGAGGCTCTCATAAATATTGAAATAGCAGGAAAAGCACATTCTTGAATCCTAAATTTAAGATTTGATTTATCTCATTTTAATGCAGCCTTTTTACCAAATTTACCCCAGGAGGGTTTTTATACTGGATAATGAACAACACACAACGTAATCTGATCTACAGTCCTGTGCTGGCTTGGTAATGGGCCAGCTGAACAGGCTGAGTGAGTTTGCTGAGTCTGACAACGTTTAACAAGGGTTTGAATTAAGATTTAAACTAAAAAAAAGAAAATAATTGGTTGCATAATGAATCTGCAATGGGAAAATTATACTTACTAGCTCATCTATGATCTCAAAAGCAATTAAATCCTCTCTAACAATCCAATCCTCTTCCCGGCTTTTACATGTAGCCCATATGTGGAGTTGAGCTCACTTACTGAGAGCTGTCCTGACAGGTACTGGGGGGCGTCCCTCAGCATGCTGGGACTCATAGGAGAAGTGACAGAGATGGAAGGACGGTCCATCTTCTGAGACTCGAAAGAACTCGAACCTGGCAGGGCACAGACGACACAGTCAGATAATCCACCCATCTGTTTGCTGTTTGTAGTTTTTGCGCCGCACAGGGAGAAAACTGGAGATTGTAGCAAGAACATACAAAGAAAGGAAACGCAAAAAGAGCACAAAAATCTTGCCATGTGGGGGAAGATAAAAAGGCAGGGTGACAAACGCAATCTGCGCCAAACAGACATTTCCTTCACTTGGTGTTTCTGGGATGATTAATAGGATCAAACGGCACACTGTCAAACCCACGGAAAAAATGTTGACAGAACTCACTTGATTCCAGTTGTGAGTGTGTGCTGTCTGGTATCCTTGGAATATCTCTGAAAAAAAAAGCAAAAAAGAAAGTGAAAGAGTGTGAGAAGCAGGAGAGAAGGAGGGGGATGGAGCGGATCAATTTAAGCTAATACCGAATGCACTGCGCTTTAATGACCGTAAGCACCACATTAGTCTTCATTCACCCAACGGCCCCCTCAATGGCACAAAGCAGGTCAGACCTAGGAATCGACAAAGCAAAGGTGCCTCTGTCTTTCAAAAGCAATCGGAGTGGAGAGGATAAACAATGTGACGGGCTTTCAAGTTTTTTGCCGGCCGGCATTCTTTGGTGCCTTATGAGGCCAGAAATGGCAGAGCCGGAGCCAGAGGGAGGGAGGAACAGATGCTGAATAAACAGCTCGGCACAGCTCCTTCGCAAACACATTCTGAGCTATGTTCCCTTCAGATTCCCCTTTTCAAGTCTCCACATTCCAAAAATATGAAGCTATTCTGAGTCACAGAGGCAGCTATGTGGCACAAACCTACAGATCTTGGCACTGTAATAGTTTTACAGCGAAATCAAATCAAATAGGTAAGAGATGTTGGTACAATCTAAAGTGTGATTCTTTGAAATACTGACTAATGCTAAAGTCCAGATTTATGCATGGTTTGCACCAACGTGAGAGTGAAGCAGGGACAAGTCTTTTATTGTTGTAGCTGGTATTTTGCATTTAGGAGTTTAGGAAGACAAAATACTGAAAGTATTTAAATGAAACTATATGAGTCACTAAAATTAGAGTAACAACATATCCTACAGAGTCCTGTAAATTCTGCATTGGTCAAAGCGGGAGAATGAATGCTCATACAAGTAGGTTTGTTTATACACTTAATATAGATTTAATATAACCTAAACTTTATGCTTTACATTTCACACAGATTTTCCCATAATAATAACTGCAGAGAGTACTGCAAAGTCTGTTTGTGCGTCCTCAGCCACACATACAGAGCTCTCCAACATCACTCCAAATATTTTTCATATCACGTCTGTTTCATAAAATACTGAAATGTCTGTCAAAATCCATCTATAAATGTGAATCGTGTGTCTCAGAGCTGTCTGTGTGTCCCATTCTTTCCTTTGTTTTTAAAGAAATACTTGAAGCATGCATTTCCACACACAGCACAACAGGAGCAGAAGTTATACTCTGCTTCTCATCTGACTGGCTGTTAGACACAGATTCCAGGTATATGCAGTGGAGGTATGTGTAATAAAGCGGCCCCTCTCTAGATGAATCCCACTCTTGATCTGAGATGTCAGGATTCATTTAGAGCAGGGACGTCAAACTCATTTTACATCGTGAGCCACATACAGCCCAGTTTGAGCTTAAGCGGGCCAGACCAGTAAAAACTCCCCTTCTGTCAGCGTGAAGAAGTTTAGCCACACATGGAAATGTTTAGACAACTTAATAGAAGAAAAAAGAACTTCAACAGTAAATCTTCATTTTTCCACATGATAAAGAAATGTTGCTGAAGGAAATTGATTTTTTTTTTACTTTGGACCCACTATAAAACACAGAAACTTGTACTGGAGATAGGGAAAGGTTCAGGATATTTTTTGTTTATTTATTACTTAGTACCTTTTGGTGTAGTGTGAATGACCATGACCATTGAAGCACAGAATCTATTCCTTCCTTCACGTTTACCAAGCCCATCCAGTGGGCTGGAAGGGAGTCTTTGGCCCCCAGGCCATATGTTTGACACCCCTGAACCAGATAATTGCTTCTCCCATCACTGAGACCTCACCCTGTTCTGAGTATGTATCAAAAAAGAGTTTTTTTCTTATAGTGCCTCTCCTTGGTCTGAATTATCGTCCTGCACCATATTTAGTTTTATCATTAAACACACAATTCCTTTTCTGGGGGTCACAAACTATCCCAGCACAAGCACATGGTGGGAAAAAGGTCGATGTCCTTGACAGATCCTAGTCCTGGCTTCGCTTAATTAAAAATTACATTTTCAAATCACAATTTTAACACATCTAGTGAACTCGTCTGCTTCAGTATGCTTATTGTGTTGTATGGAAAAGTAACACAATTGCAGCGCAAATTCTCACCCATGCCTAACACATTGGTTAGTGTGAGCGAGAGCATCCTGTTGCTTATTAACGCCAAAATCCAAAGTTGTGTTGTGAAGAACAGTGTGTGTCTGCATGTGTGACACTGGTTGCGAGATCTTACCCTATAGGCCGCGAGACCACCAGCTCCACCTGCGGCTCCGGCTTGGATTCTAGTATGATATTGTAAACTTCTTTAAATGTGGCTCCTTGTAAAAGCTTCCCGTTCCACTCCAGCACCTGATCTCCTGCAAAAACACCAGAGATGCTCAGCATCACGTGGAAGATCTTAATCCTTTCTGCTCACACTGTCGTCACAGCTGAATTTTGCCAGTTTAATTTCTTCATAAATGTGTGCATGTGTTTTTCAATACCTGGTCTGAGGTGTCCAACAGTGTCTGCTAGACTTCCTTTCCTCACTTTAGTGATGAAAGCACAAAGTCTACCAGATTCTGTCATCTTGCCTCCCACCACCTGTAGAAACAGAGAGGTGACTGCGCTGGTACTAAAATGCATTTGTGAAACAAAAGTCGAGCTATGTCATAATAACTGTAGATTTAATGCAGCGCATTAGCATGCAAGCCCTGCAGCTCATAGAAAAACATGGACTTATTTTCTCAAAGCATTCTGTTGATGTTATGGCTTCAGTTCTTGCCTGTGAGGTTTGAAACCACAAGAAATACACTGGAAGGGAGAAGGTCAGTGTTAAAAGTCTAAATCTTTTCAGAAACTGTCCAGGACTGTGCTTTGTTCCCCGTGGAAAAACTCCGGTGCTGTACCGTGGTTCTGTAACAGTGCAAGGCCGTGGGCTAGAGCTGTACTGTACAGTCCTGAGCTGCTGTACTCCACTCTCCTCGGCTTACACTGGCATCATACAAATAAAAATCCCCTCTTAATGGCAGCTGAATGCCAACATACAAAGGAGCTTAGGGAAGTCTGCTAAATGAAATGGCTTTATGTAACAGGCAGGAGATAGAGAGAGGGAGGCTTGCAGATGAAGAGAGCATAAGAGAGAGAAAGAGATGGGCAGTGAGGGCGAGGCTGGCAACCTGACTGATGGACTGACTGGCTGGATTGTGGAGCTGGGTGGCTGCTGCTGAGCGGACAGAAATGCACAGAAGCACTGAGCAGACACAAACATGCCATTTCAGGAGGCTCATTTAATCAGTAATGATTTTTTCCCCATCTTGCCGCTCTCGCTTCTTTCTCCAGCGGCTGCTGCCATGCTCCTGTGGACATTCGGCCGCTCTCTTATTTTTTTAAGGGTACGCGCCACCGACAGAATTACACAACAGTGAAGGATAAAACAAAACTACTATCTATATAAAAATAAGTATATGCTTTTTGAATAGATGGAGACACTGAAAGGGAAACTGACTTAGCATTCAATAAAGAATTTGATCAATAAGAAGCAGGCAGCACTAAAACTATAAGAAAAAGACACACAGAGAGCAAAGAATGTAAATTTACATTAGAACGTGATGGTACTGTATAATGCACAAATAGGGAATAACTGCAGGGACAATACTGGGAGGTTCTGCTCCGACTTGTTTCCTCCGAGCAGCTGAATTCTGTTCACTGAAGTAGCTCAGTATGAATGAGTTCAGAAGATTAGAGAGCCCAGTATCAAACAACACTTATTAATATTCATCAGGAATATAATGGCTATTAATAGTGACTCGTACTACTGTATGATGTAACAACGGAAAGCCATGAAGAAACCTAAAAAAAAAGGCACAAAATTTTTAACCTTCCACCTAAATGCCACATCTAACACTGATCCTTTTGACTGAACCCTACTGGGTAAAATGTTAAAGTCACTGTGCTAAATATGCATATTTTAACAGGATATTCTAATGGCAGTTCAACATGAGTGTGTGCAGTGCAAATGACACCCACACAGGCTGCAAGCTCACCTTCAGACCGAGCAGAGCACCTGAGTCTCGAGGCACACTTCCATCTTTCATGCGCTTGTTGAGCAAAATGCGCCCTATTAGGCGATCCCCATCTTTGGACGGCTGCCACGTCACTGGGTGCTACAAGGTCAGAGCAACAACACACCTTTTGTTTAACAAGTCATCCATTTCAGTTCGATCACTTCAGACCAAAGCAGACAACAAAACAGTAAAGGAGGGCGTGAAGGGAGCACTTTATTTGTTCACTTGGGGGAAGAATGTTCACACAAACTTGGATAGCTCAGTAATTTAAACTCCAGGTGATGCAGTTTTATCTGTTAGGCCAAAAGCGTTCAAAGGAAAATTTGAAATTTCTCCAAGTAACACACAGCTCATTTACTGTCTCACAGAGTTTGTGTGAACCTGCTGGTGTGAGGGTGGAGTTAAGCTTCATGCAGCGCCCCATGCAGAGTAAAGCAAGCAGCCTCAACACTCCTCCTAAAACCAGCTCTTCAAACGGGAGCAGGAAGACCAGAGTGTGACTCTGGTGCTTTGCTACACACAAACACATGGCCACCATCAAGTGGAGTAGTGAGGGGAAAAGCAGATAGTGAAAAAAAAAGAGGGAGGGGGGTAGACGTGATACAGATGAAGTAGATCCTAGGGTGCCACATTAGAGATCAAAAAGGATGAAAAACAGACAGCACAGAATAAAGCTATGAGACACAGGGTGATATCACAGACGCGGCAGTGGAAGGGAAAAAAGAAAAACAAATGTTTTTTTGGTGCAAAACTAATCCAATCTTCCCTGTTTGTGTGTGTGTTTGTGTCTTTTTTTTCTATGGAAGTGAGTGGAAAATTGGGCAGAGGGGACAGGATCTGTCTGGACTGGGTGCTGTGGGGTAGGGCAGCAGAGTGAGAGGGGACGGGCCCAAGTAAGGGTGTTCCTACTACACTAAACAGGACCGCTGCAGAGCAAGAACACAACATACGGAGGAAAAAAAACGAGCATGCAACTAGGAGAGACCCACATTCCTGAGTGCCATGACAAACAGAGAGGTTGTGTGTCAATGCCCAAGTCTTTTACAGCTACTGTAAAGAGGTGTAGTTTCTATTTGGGGAGCAATACAGCAAGTACAAGTAGCAAGCAAAGAGGGTGTCCCCAAATGACTTTTATTTTTAAGGCAACACCGAGGTGGAGCCAAAAGTAACCGAACCAAAAACAATAGATCAATTTTTTTTTAAATCGCAAGAGAAATCAATTTATACAACGTTAAATAAAATCCATAAAACAGACATCTCACCTATTTACACTTGGTGACAGAGAGCAAACAAAGACTGGATGGGTAAGGTCATAAATAATAATCATAACAAAAAAAAAGAAAAAAAAGCAGGCTAGATTGTCTCAGTACCTTCTCACTATGGCTATGCTCCTCGTTTAGCGTAGTGCTACTGCACGTATCAACTCCCGAGTCTTTAACCTGCGGTTCACACCATGCCAAGTCCTCTTCAAATGAGTGTCCCCCAAAGCGCACCATTTTCTTTTGCCTCTCAGATAAGGTGTGTGTCGCCTCGGACATAAATGCCTGCTCAATAGTTTTTCTTTTTCCCCTTTGACTGTCCCCTACAGGTGTGGGATAAAAAACAGAAAGAAAAAACAGAAAAAACAACATGCAAAGGTGTAAATAAAACAAAGGAAACATGAAATGACAAAAAGACTCCGGGAGGACAGGGGACGGGGGAGAGAAGAGAGAGAGACAGAAAGAGAGGGAAGGAGAGAGAGAGTGAGAGAGAGAGGTGGGCTTAAGGGGGCGGGTGGTAGGGAGGGAGGGTCAACGCAGGGCTCCACATGTCTCACCAAAGACAGTGGGGAAGCCTCACTGCTATGCCATGACGCATGGTCCCACCAATGGCCATCCAAATCTCCTGTAAGGTGGGAGGGAGGGCATATACACACGAGAGAGGACATCGAGAGGGACAAGTGAGGACACCACAAAGTACAGACATTAACGCGCGCACACACCCACACAGAGGCACAGAGAGCTCGAAATAAGACATCCAATCATTCACATTCCAACACACACACACACACGCAAACACACGAGTGCTCACATGCTCCCATAATTCAGCAAGAGAGATAACCGCTCCTAAAATCCCTGCAGAGAAGGAAAAGACGCAGATGGATTGAGTTTAGCACTGCACAGTTAAGAAAACTAAACAAGACGCAAGCCATGGCTGAAGTCAAAAGCACAATCTGAAGCTTCAAATCCTTTAAAGGTATTACATGTGTTCCAACAGCACATTAGGAACCTCTGATAAACAGACAAATAGACAAGGAGTGGGCGGGGCAAGGATAAACGGCCCATTTGAAATAAATAAATATGTTTAGTATGATTATAAAGAGAAAAGAGCCTCATTAAGATAACATATAGGCCACAGAGCGAAGTTTTGTTTTCTTTACAATACTTTGGCTAATAGGTAGTTCTGCATGATTCACAGTTCAAAATAATCCTGCTTTGTCCCCTCAGTTCATGAAACATATCACACAAGAATTTTTAGTTCCCATCCTCCTCCCTTTTAGTCAGCCTTCCTCAGATTAGCTGCCCCTCCTGAGCAGGTGAAGAAATAGACCTTTCTTCATTTCTTCAGATATAGTTAAGGCAAACTTTGCTTTCAATCGAAACACGTTCCACGTTACATTCCTCTGATTTTTTTCAGACCGCAATCTTCAGAAACATTCGGGCCAGATTCTGTTTTGTTGAAACAAAGTCAGCACACTGCTATCTTATTCTAAAGAAGCTGCATCTATAGTAGGGAGCAGGGCAGACCTCTAATGTGTTTAACTGGGGATTCAGATTGCAATGCCACACAACCTTAACTGACCTCGATCTAAAGTGCACCGGGGAGAGCTTTTAAAGATGAGGCTCTGATTACAACTTCTGCCGTAGCATCGACAGATACATGGCCTTGAGAAAGCCAGGCAAGTGGCTACGATCGCAGGATGAAGGATTCTGGGGCATTTCTCTACTCTTGTCGTGCCTTCAGGACAATAATCAGTTATAAAGGGAAGACTTCTAATGAGACAAATGTGAACCGATCAAAACTATCCATCTATCTCCACAAGCAACTTTGTGATTCTGCAGGGTTTGTCCTGTTCTCCAGTGTGGATGTACAGAGCAGTGAGATGAGCACTTTCAATTTGATTAAGAAGCTTAACATTTAAAGCTAATTAAAAAGAGCAAAAAATATTGAATCCAAAGGTAGTGCTGAGATTCTCAGGGGAGAGCAGTGTGGAGGTGAAGACAGGCACAAGTTAAGAGTCAAATCCTGCTCTTCTCTGTCCAGGACTTCAGTCAGTAAGATCATTTTAGCATCCCATTACAATGCATAATTCATTTAAATGATATTCAGCTATGATGCCAATTCATTTTACAAAGGGGAAATAAAGTTGCTCTTATTAAAACATTTACCGAAGAATGGGCCATTTAAATAATACAGACACACAACGTGTTCTTGGCAGCAAACATGCTGTTGTAGACTTGTGTGTTTGCACAGATGTACAAAGTCAATAGCGGACCTCAGGGCTGCAGTCACAAGTGAGGTCATCTGAAAACACTCGACTTGTTTAACCCATGGGCCACATACATCACATTCGCCACACTTCACTTCCCCTGCACAGAGCTGTAGAACCTAATGGATCTATAGAGGACAGGCTTCCTTCAAGTATTATCTGGCTCAGGATTCAATCTCAGGGAAATCAGGGAACGCTGATGGAAAGGCATAAAAATAGACTGCATATGCTGCTAGATGTGGAGGCTGAGGAGGTGGTGGGAGGCTGGACTGGACAGGGGTAAAGAGAAAGAATTTTCAGCACAGGACAAAAAAGAACCTGCATGGAAGACGTTGTTTGCAGGGTCACTGTGAATACACATAGCCAGAAATGTCTTAAATAATCCCTCATTGCACTGGGGTAATATGGGGTTCAGTACTTTCTTAACAGATATGTACAGAATTATTTGGAGATTTTGAAATTTAATATTCCGATGGATCGGAAATAAAAAAGGTTTTCCCATTAAGACACACAAAGGATAAACAGCCTTCCATAACATTTGCTATCTCCAGTTGTTTATGCACTCATACAGGCTCTGCCTGACTCTGCTCAGATCAGCTGTCTGTTGTGTTTCCAAACATAGGTGGCCAACTGGAAAGTTGCAGAGTGCGCTCTGGTACTTATAACATCACTGAAGGTGTTTCTCCCTTTTTTTTTTACTTTTTAAATTTTCATTTATTGGCATAAACGCCAATGCCACTTAGCAAATAACTACTATCGGCCGATAATACTGGCTCACTGATAAATCTCTCGGGCTCTAACCTTTAAAAGAAAATCTGCTTCTCGTAAAGAGACATGCCTGCAGAACTGTGGCTCTTAAACAGAAGGTCTGTTTCTGGCTTCAAATTAATTTTTAACTTCCTAGCTTTCTTTTTCAATATTTTTCAATATTAAAACACAATGTATCTTATGTCCTGTCTTATCCATATTTTATCTTGGTTGCAAATCAAGTTTCAAATAACAAAGTCAGTGTAGTGTCAGTATGTATAAGTAATCAATATTTGCCAAAATCTCAAGTGTCAAACTGCTGTAAACACTGATTTTTTTTTATTTTTTGTACTCTTGGTTCTGTATGATATCAGTGGGAGAAGACTTTTTATTTATTATTCTTTTTGTGAATCAGAAGAAAATTCACTTAAAGGTGAAGGAACTTAAATGAGTTGTTTCAGAAAGAGCACAATCTAGTCCAGTATGTGACAAATAAGGATTAGTTTGGACTGTGAATCATACAAAGCTACACTGGAAAAGTCCAAGAAGAAATGATGAGAAGAAATAAGATCATAATATTCCCCCTTTAATATAGTAAAAAGAAAAAGATCTTCAATAACATTTTCCAACTTGCAATTTTGTTGTGACCAAGCTGCAAGGTCAGTTTAGGCCAAACAACACCCTTTGTATTACTATCCATCCATCATTCTAAAGAAGCAATGTAACTACTTAGTGTATGTAGTAATGTGCTGTGATAAACTATTATGGATGTCCCCAGATAGGCTTTGGCCTCCGTGGCCCTCTCGCCAACAGCTGACAATAGTAATTACCTCCTTTGCCTTTCAGCTGCTCTTCTGTCAGCAGCGTAACACCAGAGCACACTTTGCTCTCCAATGAGAGTGTAGTGTGTTTGATGTGGAGCTATAGACTGAATGAATATAGACACTATGTGGCTCATCTCAAGCTTCCATCATTTACAGTTCAACCTCCACCTATGTGTGTTCTTCTTCCTGTGGCACGCCTCCATCTTCAGGCCCCTCCCCAGCCCACTCTTAATGTTTTAGAAAAAGAATTTGAATGAGCACCGAGACACACCCAGCCTTCTCTCCTTACTTTCCCTGAAGCTTTATTAACAGCGGCATGCCACAAATGGGCACCATTCCCCCTTTAAGGCACTGTCTGATTTTTCAGCAAGCAGGAAACTCATCACGGCCATAAATTGTGAGTATCAGCAGTCTGCGCCCGGCCCTGCCGTTTCGCTCCGACTCCGAGGCCCCGCAAAGTGCTGATTCAGGTCGAAGGCAGCGCGCAGGCAGTGGCGGAGTTCACCACCAGCAGGCTCTCCATCACTTTGACGGCTCAATAAAAACCAGTGTAAACTATTAATTGGATCATTAATTATTGATGCTGTTTTTACTACAATTCAAGAGGTGAGAGCAGAAAAGAGGCAGGTCGAAACAATGTCTATGTTTAAACATAGCCACCATGCTACAAAGGTGAAACAGTATCATGTTAAGCTACTGGTAAGCTCAAAATATCAATCAGTATCTATTCTAATAAACTAACCCTAAACTAACCCTCTTTAATATGCCCCAAAACAATGCCTTTCAGGTAGAGAAAGGATGGATTAATAAGACAATCTTTCTCAGATCTAGCATGAGGCCAAACACTACAAACCCAGTAGGGTTACCGAGCTGCAAAACATGATCCCAAAAGCCATTAATGAGGATGTAACTTAGGTTGTCACTACACAATGTCCACCTGTCTGCTGCAGTTAGCCAGCCATCCTCTCCTTTTCTGTGTGCTGGGCACTATTATGAGACTGCATGTCAGGGGAATCAATAAAGAGGAAAACACAGGGAGAGGACCATCGCAATAAATCAGTCTCCTACGTTCACAGACACAAGCCAGGCCCATTACAGCTGGCACACCCTTTCTCTTCCAGTCTAACTCGTCCCCTTCAACCCCCAGCCCCCCTCATCCTCCTTCTTTACAGATTCCTCCTCTCCCCCTTCTAGGTACCAGAAACTGGAGAGTGTGGGATGCTCGCTACTTAGCCTGCTGTTACACACCCATCTCGTTGTCCAGTCAAGCTGAATGCACAAACCCCCAAGATGCTGACGGGAATATATGGCAAAAAAAGTTGCTTTCCGCCCTCGTTTGTCTCACCTGCAATCGAAACCACTGCGCTTCGTATTGTTGGCAGATTTCTGATGATATTTTTTTTTCACTTTTCACTTTTTTCACTCTGGTAAATAATCAAAGTCCTTCTGTATGCTTCTTTTTTTTTTAAACAAAGCAAGAAGGAATATTTCTTCTCTCGCTCCTTTTTTAGGAGCATTAAAAACACCTGCTTGATCTGACCCAGCTGAAAAATATTTGAGGGTCACATGTGCACATCGGGGGTGGCGTTAGCTTTGAATGCACTTTCTAATTATTGCATAATTAAACTTACTACGCAAACACGTACACACTGTTTTAAAATAAATGGTTCAGTACAATTTGCTGACCCATTTATCAGACTCCCTGCATGCACCGAATCACGGCAGCCTTAGTTATGTCATAGATGAAAATAATTAATGAAACTGCCAATTAAAACTAAATAAAGCTCCACATAATCAGCTGTCTGAGTATGTTCTGTACCTAGCATAGGAAGCTATACTTATCCAGGTCAACAGTTCAACTCTTCCCTATGTTTTTTTCTCCTACGCAGCGTGACCCGCGGAGGAGGCAGGCAGACAGACGCACACAGAAACAACAGAAACTCTGACCCTCTAAACAACCTGCCTTCTCCCTATTTTTGCTCCACGGCTACCTGTAAATCTGGAAACTCCCACATCAATAATGTAGCGCCGGGTGCTCAGCTGCTCGCCTTAGAGTGGAGAACAGTTACATAACAGAGCAGGCCAACCAAATTCCACTGCTCTCCTCTGCATTAAACATTTCATCTACCATTCAGCGACAAAGGCGAGCTGTGCCACTGTACTTTTGTCCTTTCTATAGTCTAACCCCTAACACTCCTCCTCCTCCCTCTTTCCTGGTTTTACATCCCAGGAAAAGTTAAAGAAAAAAGAAAAAAGAAAAAAATCAATTTGCAATTACAACAACTGTCAACCAGGAGGAGCAGGGAGAAGCTGACGACTGCCTCTGATGTTGATTCTATGCAAAGTGGCATTTCTCTCAGTCAGTGTGTGCTTGCTTGGTGGGATGTTGTTTTTTTAATATATATATATATACTTGAAGAAATGTGAGATGCAAACATATCAGTCACAGCAGACGGTAAGAAAACCACTTCAGTAAGGGATCCACATTATTATTTTAAAGTTTAAGCAGTCCTTGATTTAAGAAATAAGTAAATAAATAAAAACCAGCAGAGCTATTTTTCTTTTTTCTTTTCTTTTTTTGCTAAACTGAACTCCTTCGCAATACCAGCAAAGCAGCTCCGCTTTCTGCGAGCTGTAAAGTCAATGCTAACAGCGCAGATACAATTTGCTGCAGGAACACATTTCTATATTCTAAAGTCAGCTCCCTTTGTTTCGGTTTACAGCCACAACTCCCAAAACATCTCGCTTTCTCCTCCTGCCTGTCCATTATGTAACACTGTCCATTAAAGAACACTGTCAAACAGCTGTGGCAGGACCTGGCAAATAGTGCCGTAACAGCAGTGAAAGCAGAGAGCCTTAAGATCAGCGGTGCTACGTCAGTTTCCAACTCACAGCCGCACGCACACATAAACCACCCATCCACACTGAAGCATGTCTGGCTGGCCTGTGAGCCCACAGGCCTCCTCCTCGAAGGCACCAAGAGCTGTTAGAGGAGATTCATTAACGATAAACAGAAAACACCGCAGTTCTCCGCACAGAAATAGGGCTCATCATTTTCAGTTTTATAGGCTTTTATTGCACGTGTGCAATGGCTGGGTTGTTTTCTTGTTTGAAGATGAATGAAATGGCAGTAAAGACAGCCACTTTTAAGATGTTCAACCCCCCCCCCCCAAAAAAATACAAAACCTAAGAGCACTTATTTCTGGTTATCGAGCATTTTAAGAAGAAATTTTCTGCATTTAGATTGTTTAATGTTTTATGAGAATGTTATCTTTATTGAAAAATCTGTATAAACAGAAACATCTTTAAAGATTTTTCAGAGTGAAAATGATGAGCCTTAAAGATAAAAAATACATTTATAAACAGACACACACACACAGAGCACATGTACACACTGCAGACTGGGGAATCTGAAAGTTATACAATATATACATCTGCATAATCAACATCACTTGAAGACAGCAGCAATGATTGAATTACAGTTCAGTGACTGCTCAATAACAGTAAAGCAGAACGGCTTTAAGACTTCACAATAACAGCACTAATATGTGTGTATTTGTATGCTGTAAAAACCTTTTGATACAGAGAGAGAGCAGACAGTGAGGCTCGTGGTGTGCTGGCTCCTACCTTTTTCACTAACTGACTCACTCTCTATCTCCACATCCTCACAGCTGGTGTACTCCGGCGTGGTGGCCAGCTCCTCCTCCGAGCTGCTCAGTGACACCTGCCTCATCTTCCCTCCCTTTTTGGTTTTGTGGGGTTTGGGGGGTGGCGGGCGCACCGACTCCGACTGGTCTGAGCTAAGAGAGTCGTTCCTCAACATGCTCTCCATTTTCTCCCTCTTGGTCTTGCGGACAGCTGAACTGGGGTCCAAGTGGTGCTGCGGCCTCCTCATCATATCCCCACCTACCCCCAGGTCTCCTCTTCGCAGGTCCCCCGACCGGTCACCCAGAACGGGACTACGGTGTGGCGTTGGGGGGCTGTGGTTTCCTCTGTGGCCTCCGAGGCCAGGACCCATTGGCCCTGGTGAGGACCGGTCAACGGAGTAGGAGCGCTGTCCCACCATAGGCGGCCGGCGCTCAGTGAGAAGCTGACGCGACAGCCGGATGGGGCTGGGCTCATCTTGCTCCGTGTAGGCCAGCGAGACGTCGCTGTGGCGACGTTCGTGCCTTAGCCGGCCCACTTCAGCGTGCATCCTCATCTGCTCCTCGTAGGGCTGCGGCTTAACAGGGTAGCGTGCCAGGTTGGGATCGCTGCGATAGCGTGCCTGGAACTCTTCCTGGCGCTGCCGCTGGAGGTCATACTCACTGGGCGGTCCATCTAGCTCCTGGTCGAGTGGGTATTCCTGTGAGTGCCAGCGACCGGGACCTCGACGGTCCCGATAGCCCATTCGCACTGCATCCATATCTGAGTACATGTGTGGGCCCCGCGGAGCCCGCCGAGGGTCCCCCTCCCCATAGTCAGACGGTGATCTAGGCATGCCGCCGTCCGTCGGGGCATACTGTGAGTGGTCGCCCCCCTCCCTTTGGTCGTATTTTTGGTTTGGATCCCTGGATGCAGACGGGCTTCGTTTCCTGCAGATCAGAAGGAGAGGAACAAAAGAAATTATTAGCCGGTCAACTGTAGACAAGATTTTCTCTCGTTCTAATTATATGATGTCTTTTTGGGCTGAAAGCTGTTTGCATCCTGTAGCTTCACTTTACTTTGGTCTGCACTGCACAGGTCCCAGTCCTTGTGAAAAGGTAATGATAGCCTGCACTGTTTCTGTCACACACACACACACACACACACACACACACACACACACACACACACACACACACACAGAAGACTAAACTAAACAGCAGGATGTAGCACCAGTTCTTCCTCTCAGTCCAAGAAGCAAGAGGACACAAAATATACAATTCAAGCCATTTTACAATATGTGTTCTCAACACATGTGCTAAATGTGTGCTGAGAGTAGTGCACTGGTAAATGATTCAGTGATCCACCGGCTGTGTTTTTGTGCACATTACAATGCACATGAAGGGGTTGTAGGCAGACAATAAAAATATCTCTGTGTTCTGGTATTGATAAAAAAAGAACACAATTAAAAGCTGGAAATGTTGAAATGTTAGAAAGTACGCCCTGATTACGATCAGCAGCTTCATATTTCTAAAAATTAGGCGTCAATCGTTTTATTGTTGTCTGGTTGGAAGGAAACCATCCAGGAAGTGGATGAAAAGGATGGAGGGGGCTAACTGTGCATTAATGCATTTATTCTTTTGTTCAGAATCAATTATTCATAAGCCACTTTTCTCCTACATTTCTCCCACTTTTCCTCCAAAGTAATAATGACATTTTGGTGAGGAAAAAGCTCTGTGAAGCATCCCCTTAATTTTGTACGTGACAACTTTCCATAAATTTCAAAAGGACTCATAAATCACCGCTGCCAGCTTTGCTCACCAGCCAAGGTAAGGACTCCTCACATGTGATTGGCTGATTCACTGAAGGAAGGCTGGCCCTTCCCTACTGGATCACAGACTGTTCAGGTTAGTCAAAGCTAAAATGGATGTGCAGTACAAAAGATATAAGCATTGCGGTGAGGGACGTGTGGGCAAAGATGCTTTTTGTGGTCCCCGTGTTGGAATTTCTATGTTGTACACTGAATAATCTCACTAAAGTCAAGTGCTAGTTCTGGGGAGAGACAGCATGATGAACGAGCGTTGCGTACAGTTCATGAACTGCTGTACAGTTAAAATATGGGCTCTTAGAGAGGGGCAGAAGCTGAGCAATAGTGCAGCACAAAATGTGCTTCCCAGCAACGCTGGCACATAAAAAGCAAATTTTACTTAATTGCAAAAGGGACAAAATAACAAGAACAGGTCAAAAAGAGCATTTAAACATATTTACATGCAGCATACAAACATGACTGCCCATGAATGCTAATGTTATGCCATTAATGATGCTTAGGCAACAGTTAGCTGTTCATAACGACATTATAAGGTGAGGATGTCAGTGTTGTTTTTGCAGCAAAAAGAATAAATACTCCATGCATCCATTTCAGGGTTGTGTGTGGGTGTGTGTACGTGGCAAGTTTGCAATCTGCCTGTGATTTTTGGTCTTTACACTAGACGTAAAGGAAGCATTATAGCTGGTGAAAGCTGCTGAGACTGAGATGTTCTCAGTTTCTGAGACACAAAAGATGTTAATGCCATCTTTAATAACTGTCTGCATTTTTTAAAAAATCACAAACGCTTAAAAACTTAACAAACACAGACTTTTTTACTCTGAGAGCTGGTAGGTTGGTAAGAAAATGATCTGGAGCCACACTAAAACTTAATTGGTACTTCCTTTGCCTCTCCTCTCCACCGAGAATCTTGAAATAGCAGTGTTTGCATTATCTTGCTGACTAACAGCCAAACAGACAAGCATGTACGGTGGTCAGACACGTACATGTACAGAGGTCAAACACACTCAAATTGAGAAAAACAATAAAACACAACAGAAATTAGATAAAAAACCAAACCTCTCAGGGCCACTGTTGCAAAGCAGGCACTGATCACATACCTTCGCCAAATAAGAACGACCTAGAGGAAGAAAAACTGGCCGCTCGAGTCTCTGTGATGCTGCCAGCTCACAGGAGTGACTTCTTTCTGTTTCACATCAAAACAAATACCTTCTATCACCAGTATCATGATTCAAAGATGGAGGAAAAACACACGAGGGTTGGTACATTATTCATGAGCTGTTTTCTGGACACTAACCGAGCTGCACTTCATTCACAAATTCAAAGTGAAGCAGCAGCAGAAATTAGGGGGGACAGGCGGCGTGACATGGAGCTGAGGAAGGCGGGGGAGTGTGTGTTTGTGAGAAATCTCTCTTTATAGCCACTCTGTAATCACTGAGGTGTGTGTTTGTGACCGCGTGTGTGTTTTTTGAGTCGACTGCTTAAGGAATGCTCTCAGGATCTCTTTGGGGCTTCAGGCCAACGTCCTCTCCGAGACTGTCTTAAAACGCTACACCCAGAAAACACACACACATACTCATAGCAGCTGCACACAGTTCGCACAACATACATTAACAAACAGCTCTTTGACGAGGTCTAACACAACTTGACACAAGCATCACAATCCTCTGCTCCCGTTTAGCCTTGTATGTCCCTCCTTTCCAAACACAGAAATGTCTGTGCTCGCAAGCAAGCCAGTAAGCCCGTTGTACTCTATCAGCGTCCGCATCATGACTCTGCTGCTGCTGTTTGTGCTTAAGCAACCTTCAATATATACACAACAGAGTGGTGACGCAGGGCTATGTTTTGCACTGTGCAATATTCTCTGCTGCTTCGACAGCCTCTCTCTGCATACACCTGAGTGCTGGCATGACACACTCTGCTGATCTTGGATTTGTATTCCATCCTCAGTGACTCAGACAGAGATGAAGAAAGGAGGGGCAAAATGGGAGAAGAGGTATCGACAAGGAATGTGGAATTAGGTGGAGCAAAAGTACGCAGATGCCAAATTACAGTAACCGTGTCCTGCAGTCGGACATTGCATCTGGTATGCGCGCCGCATTAAAGCATCATGTTTGTCAGGCTCGAGCATGAAGAGGCAGGATGTGACACCGTGGGATTATGATGCTTGCCAAGTTGCACAGAAGTCTGGCTGCGGCAACGATTGAGTCACACACGGCAACGTAAAGGCCTCCTATCACGTCCCCTTATAGAGCAAGATTCATCCGCGTTTGCGTGATGCCAGAGCAGATTGATGAGCAGTGAATCGACCTAACGGGCCAACAACAGGGAGGCACGTGCACTTTGTGCGTGCTATGTTATGGGAATAGAGGCCAGGGCTTCTATACGCTCCTGCTGTGGGAATAACAGCAGCCTTTGTTACTGCTGTTGTCCTATGCTGAGCTAACTATAGAAATCCTCTGCTCTATCGTGGAGCTACAGACAAGGACGGAGATGGCAATAAGATTCGATTCATGCAAGGTGGTGCCGGAGTTTTTCAACTAAAATATAGAAGGTTTCTGACATCCCTTTGATGTCGCGTTATTACTGCTGCCAGGACAGCCTTGTACGCCTGCAGTGCTCTAGAGGTAATTCCAGTTAATCATCTTTTTCAAGTACACTGTCCTTATCAAAAGCAGCATAATGTATCAAATCCAGGGCTCAAAAAAAAATCCCCCCCCCAAAAAATCATGGGATTACACTATGGCACCGAAAGATTAAAAAGTGCGACCCACAAAAAGATTAAAAGTGACCTGACATGCTCGTCATGATAAAAACCTTTATGTGATGTTATTTTCTACAAAGCAACACACAAAAAACAACTGGTGAAATTCCCTGATTCACTGCAGGGCGTAATGAGAGGACAGTGCCCTATTCTCTCTCTGCAGATTCGGTCAAAAGCATCCACAGACAGAGCTCAGTTCCCAGGCTGTAAATGGACTAAATCGTCTAACTGTGTCACTCCCTGTGTGTGTGTGTGTGTGTGTGTGTGTGTGTGTGTGTGTGTGTGTGTGTAAGTGTGTAATTTTCCCTACACCCCTATACTCTGTATGATGGATATAAATCATAAACATTTGATGTGAATTTATGATAAATCTACAACATCATCATCACATTAAGAGGCTAAGCACACACACACACACACACACACACACACACACACACACACAC